GAAATTACAATTATTTTCTACCTTTTTAACGTAAAATTACGGCTTCATTGGGCAGATTAGTAGCAGATTAATATCCAGGGCGCGATTCTACAAAATGAAATTGGTCTGGTCCAAACTGGCTTTAACATAAAAATCAATGAGCGCACATTGGTGCTTAAAATGGCAAAAAGAAGAACAAAACAAATGCATTTTTTCCTGTTCTAAGTTAATCTTATACTCAATATACCCAAATAATGATAATTTGTTGCACAATTCACCAAAAACTACAAATTTCAATTAGTTAGATGATTATAATGAAATTTTAGTGCAGTGATAATTAACCGGTTGTACTATATACACAAGTGTATACTAAGTCAGATCCCAGGTATGTAAATAACTATTCTGAACGCGAAAAAAAAATTTATTGGTGGAGAGATAAACAGAAAGTCTGCGGCTACCTTTGTTATTTGCGAGGTACATACAAAGAAAATAAAAATTGGAAAAAAAAGGTTCAACACATAGTAAAAGATTGAATATCATCGTTTAGTGTATTAGATTGTGTTTATTCGTACAAAGCTCTCGAAACCAATGTAAAAATGTGAGATATGATAAAAATCCCCTTGCCCTCGGAATTGGGACACAGCGATCAAGAGGGGCGTGTTTTTGAACTTTGTCATGGCCGCGATTTTGCGTAGATACATCCCTGCCAATAATTCAGACTTTTCCCCAAATTTATGAAATATTACTTATTTGGAATGATCTGTCATTACATTGTGTTGCACCTCATCATGTAAATTACAATTGACAAATGTGTTATATTTCACCTTCTTATGAGAGTTCTCTCTAGAGTCAGACGTTTAATTTCATTAGATACTACTCGCCGTTTTAGAATATAACAAAAGTACAAATATTATTATAGCAAGAAACTACCCAATGACGTATTTTACAATTGTTTATGAAATATATAACCCATCACTTCTAGGCAGTGATATATAGCATTATCACACTGTTTACGGGAATCAATAGATGTCGAAAAATCAATTAAAATGTTTAAATATTATTTACCTGTATACTTTTTCCTCGGTTTCGCATCTTCATTATTTTTTCGTATCTTTCAAGTTCTGCATCAGGAAAATTAAGATATTAATGGTTGCATAACTTTGAAGCATTTCTAAAGGCGTGAACGGGGCTAAATCAAGCCTCAATGGCTAGAAAATATAAAAGCCATGGCAAGTATAGACTATATATATCCTCGTAAATCCATGAATTCGGTGTTATATTCGCTTTATATTATATGTTATATTAGCTTTGCGCCACAAAATATCTTTGCGAAAGCCATCCCAATCACGCAATAGTTCGTTTTCTGCACTTTTCTCTTGTATTCCCCTCCCTAATTGATTATATTTCTTTCTAAATCAATTTATAACAGTAAGTTAGGAGGTAACTCTAACAAACATGAGCTGTACAATCCCATACATCGAGCAAAAACGAAGGAAAAGTTATTCTTTTTAGCTGCAAATCCTTAACCCTGCAAAACCCAACACGCGAACGAGTTTAGCTAAAATTTTTATATTCAAGATTTAACTTTCTTTTATTGAACATTTTTAATTAAAACGAACAAAAAATTATTTTTAGAATTTTTTCCTCCCCAAATAAAAAGTGTCATATATGTCATTGTGGGCTTTGGTGTGAAAAAAAAACGTCATTTGAGTTGTATGAAAGCCCTTTTTTTTTCTTCGTCAGATAATTCCGATTTCAAGGTATCCGTCTGAATAGAATGAAGAAGCTTATGTAACATTTAGAATGTATTCCCTACGATAAAATTACTAAATTCTTGATGCATGTTGATACTGCTAAATAGTCAGTTTGAGGATGGTAAAAATTCATTGAACCACTTTAAAATATTTCATTTTTGCTGTTTCACCTTCCAGTCAACTTTGATATATATGCAGTTGCTGTGCTTGTTACATCAGTCTCAGTATTGACAAACTTATTATCTGAATTCCTACCTCTGATTCTCCTGCCAACTCATCTCTACTTCCCACATAATCCTCATCTGAATCACTATTACGCGCATCGTCATTATTGCTCTCGTCACAATCACAAATAGTGAATACATCTCCAACAATAAGTCCCTTTCTACAGCCTCAGCCTTGAAATTGCCTCACTTTACTTATTGATGCTCTCAAAACCTGCAAGCTCTACAAGCTGGATAAATTCCTAAAATTACGGCCATAAAATTTTAAAAGAGACTCAGTTTGTGCAAAACTCTTCATGAAAATGAATATGATCAAGTACCCGCAGTGACACCGTTTCACCACAAATTTCATAAGCGGCAGGAGAAACTAAGTGCATGCATTTACATTTCATAAAAGGTACCAAACTAAAATAAACTAATTCTAAATTAAAAGAAGGTAATGTTTAAAATTATATCCTACTTTAATTTTTCAAATATTTGCTCAAAACTTCTTCACCCAAGGGGTACATTTGACGTTCTTTCAAACAGGTGGTAAAAAGACAACGCCTCCGGAATCAGTGCGCCACCGAGTGTTAAATATCAGGTGTACAGCCCATTGCATTGTGGGAGTTACTTCCCACAATCGAGTACACGTGCGTGTGTAGTTTAGGTTTCAGAACACGGTGACACCTGTGTTACTTGGGGTTTTGAAGAGTTAGAGTTCTGAACCTTTGAAAGAAGTGTTTTCATTCCGAGATACTGCATCAACTAAGCTTAATAGGGGGCAACTCTATCCCTTTCAATCCAGCACCGATTATGCCTCCTGAGCATGAGGGTCTACCAGAAACATGTCCTCAACTTTCTGACTTCTTTTCGGATGCATTCGCGAAGGTTAGTATTTATTTTAAAATATATCTAAATTGTTTTAACTTATCGTAATTTATTTACAATTTCCACCCTCCTACTCCATTTCAGTCTCAGGAATGCAGATTTTACGCCCAGCCGTCATTCCACTACAACCCCAGCGAATCTCAAAATAACCGAACTAGGCTATATCGTAAGTTGTTTCAGATCTATTCTCAGATCTAAGGTTCGTTTTTATTGCGCCGTTTGCGTCATGTAAGTGGTCACTGATCTGTCGGTATGAAATAAGCTACATGGTATTGAATAACTTGAATTTCTCAAGTTTGCCATTGCTAAACCAATTTTGTGCACCCTGGTGAAATTAATAAGAATTCAATGCGTGTTGATCTCGTAAAATTTAGGTCAAATTTTAAGTCAATAGGGCATTTCAATATGACGTTTGAACGTCTTTTACAAACTAAATTAATAACATTTTTACCAAAAATGATGTAGAAAACAATCACCAATTTTGTTTTCAATATTATCATTTAGGGTATTGCAATTTTATAGAAACGAAAATATTTATTGACAAATCTTAAAATGGCCTTTGAAAATGTTAATCAGGATCTCATAATTCTCACGTCGTAAAATTATGGTATCGGTGGAATACCCAATAAACTCTCTAGTTACTTGAGTGATGAAAATTAACATGTTGAAGTAGGAATCATTTTTTCTGGTATCTATCTGTGACTAGATGGGTTCCACATATATTGGGCCGTCTATTACCACTTGTCTTAATTAATGACATTGTTATTTTCATTGTTCTTCTCAAAATTTCTGATGAAAATACTGATGAATTGCGCTAAGGGGCAAATCTCTACAAGCTCCTAAATCAATCAAAAGCGACCCTTGGAGTTTTAAAAGTGACCAAAGGCTATAATTGATCAACAACAATCATCAACAAATACAAAATTATGGGCATTTCACTAGACAAATTTAAAACACAAATCAATCTGACAATTTTATTTTTCAACGCCAGATTATGAAATACAAGTCCCTATAAATATCTGAAAATTTAATTTTACTGTTAAATTATGTAAGTATTTTGGAACAACTCACAAGCTCCGGCATTTTACATCTGTGACAACTTTACATAAGCATGATTAACCATCATTTGTACAATAATCGCATCAATATGGCATTCTTGCAAGTCGGCCAAAAAACTCTGTACATCGAATTGAAATTTTACAAAATAGAGCCATCCGTCCTGCCTCTGTTGGACGTCACAACTTGATGTCATCTATTCCAGACTTTAAATTCTCAATATTTATCAAATAGAGGTACTAAATATTATTGCACAAACATAGCAAAAAAATCCATGTCACATTAAGTGACTTTTTAAAACATATCGGCATTCGTTCATGAATATCAAATTATTGTACCAACATAGCATAAACGTCTTTATCACATTTACTTATAACAGTCCTAAGCATAGTGACATTTATTCAAGAAGATCAGATTCCCAAGCCGCACTGTATGATTTGATAAGCTAATAATTCTCAAAAACAATTTAATAACGTATGTGGGCGTCAAAAGATAAAATTAATAACTTTTAGCTTTCGAATCAATGATTTAAATTCATATTCATACAAACGAGCAACGTAAAAGTTCACATGTTGGTTATACATATATGTCTGCAGCATCCAACAATAACGTATATATTTGATTTGATGCATGATAAGGTCAAATATATAATTCTCAATATATGAATCGCCTCGGATCTTCTTCGGTAGACCGTGTCCAACACACTGAACATGAGAATGTAGAGTTGACACCAACCAATGATGGGTTTGTTTGTCGTGAGTTCAATTGATTTGTTTGTTTATTCACTTATACATAATTTTGTCATTTTAAAGAAATCTTGCTTAAAGCAAGTAGTTTACAAGCATTTAGAAATGAATGAGTTTATTTTCTGAACTATGTCAGAGCGGACCAGTGGCCTGCGTAAAGATTTTTTTAAATTCAATCAAAGAAATGTTAGATATGTAGGTACCGTTAGAAAATTTTTCACTCCACTGCGAACTACAAATTATTTACAAACCAACCCTTGTCTGTGGGAGTTGACAGAATTTTGACTGCCTATGCAGATTAGAATCTTTTTTTTAGTTTTGGTAATCTTTCATTGCACAGATACTTTTCTAAAAATATTCCTATTATACAGTTTATTCAAAAACATTTCGCATCCGGCAAACGGCAAATGATTTTAATCCAGAACTGTTGGCTGAAGTTCAAAAGTACGGGGAAATTGAAACTGGAATTGTGAGATATTTTTTACGTACAATAGCTTGTATAATCGGCATAACCGATGATATGCATCGATCTTAAATCTATTGGTTTGGCATTGCAACCTAATTCATTAAGGGATTTATTTTGAGGTGGAAAGCACGGAATATAAACCTTAGATTTTTAAACTATGAGGACAACATATTTAGTTCTGAAGATTTAACTATTAGTCCCAACAAGTCTCTCATCAAGAAGCTAATATATATTCAAGATTTTGATAGTGTCAGACAACGCATTAGTCATCAAAACTTGAAAGCGTATATCGAAGCTTTAATCAGCTCTATCAAGCCCTAGTCCCGCGTGTTGATACTGGAATAGTATTTTACAACCATATCGAGGCAATTGTCTGTGTCATAATTTAAAATCTAAAATGGTAATAAAACAGATTTTCTAAAAAAGTTTTAAAATCATTGAGTTGGGGGTTAAAAAATGTTCCTTCGTTTTCGATGTAAATATCTGTTTTCTGCAAATTCCATAGTGACCAAGATGGAATTATTCTCTGTCATGATTCAGAAGTCGGAATTATTTTTTTATAAACTCAATGTTGGGAGTCGAATACGCGTGTGATATTTTTTATACGTTTTAAAATACTTATTTTTGTTTCTACTTTTTTTCAGCCTTTTTCCATTTGTTATCACTTTTTCAGATTGTTGGTGGATCGGCCTACATAACTATGAAAAAAAGGGCAGAAGCTCCTATATCTATGCAAAAGCTGAGACAACTAAATATAGATGGAAATGTAACTAACTAGTGATCTACGATTAGCCAAACAGTTATTTATTAACTTTTTACTTTGTTTAATTGATATGTATAGAGCATAACGTTTGTGCGTAACCTCAAGGACAAACAGACGAAGTGTTGACAGAATAAATTATATCACTTTTTTTATATAAGTTATTTTAAAAACTCGTGGCTTTGTAGTTAATGGGAAAATATACCTGTATAATAATACCTGTAATAAATATAACGTTTTTTTGAAAGTTTGGAAATTATTTTTCAGTATGAGCTAAATATGAGGTTTTTTTGTCCAAACGACAACGATATGAGCAAAAAGGTTTTAATATACGTTTTTTTAGTTTCTTATAGTAAACTGGTCCCCGGGAAAGGAAGCGGAAGAAAAGTTCAAAGAGTTTTGGTTTGAGGAAAAAGGGGTTCATATTATTCCAGTTTCGACAATTAGCTCGTCGTCGGGGACAATGCCTCGCATTCATTCTCAACTAACAGAAATCAATAGTGAGATTTTTTTAGGGAAGTTTTGTCCTTAATAGACTGTTTTATTTCTTTTTCTCGAAAATATAAGACACTATTCGATAATAATTATAGACGTGATATCGCTTTTGTGAGTGAGTGCCAATACATTCGTGTTAGTGTTCAGGAAAACTCTTAAAATCGCATAGTGTAAATACTTCCTTTCATTACATGCATGCGGATTGTACAGATCAAGCGCAAATCGATGATTATGGAGTACTCACGTTACTCCAACTCAGTGGGGTAACTACCCATTGGATCCGTACGTTGCTGGAGGGCGGCAAAATGTGGCAAAACATTTTAAACGAAGCGGCAAAACGTTTTAAATGAACAACGGCAGTCACATTAATTTATTTTCAGAGATACACGGACTTAAACGACCCAAGTTAACATTGAAGCCAGATAATTGTGACTCACTATGTGTTATCTTGGACGGAATATTGGTACTCGTGCTGTTGAAGTCATAATAGAATGTCGGTTGTAACTTTCAAGCTCTTGCATCGTTCGGTCAATTTAGCTTTGGTAGTTAAGTTTATATTAGTTTTCAGTTTATTTCACTTTCTCGAGAAGACATGAAAGGACTGTGAGGTCATCGAGTCAACTGATACTTTCACCATCTGTCTGTGGTAGATAGACGGTATTTCTTCATGTGGCTGATGAGATAACCCGTTAAGTTTTTTTTCCAAGGTCACGGACTTACTGAGCGCCATGCAGGGAACCTGAGATTGCCATTTTTAAATACTTTAGCATACATCGATCGACCCAGGAAATTCGTGAAAGGTTTAAAGTTTCAGGTCTGAAATATATCACTTAGCTTAGCTCATCAAATTCACAATTACGTTTTTTTTAACTTTTGTGCTGCAGATTCCAGAACAAGATTTAAGTTGCAAATTTTTAAGTTAACTTTTTGCTATGAAGAGAAAGTGTAGCACTTTTCAGAAAAAAAAAAAAAAAGTTAGAGAAGAGAAACTAAAAAAGAAACAAGAGAGCAATGCTCAAATATATGGACACGCAGAACAATTCCCCAAAAATCATATGCGGTGACCAACGACTAACATACCGGCGGTGACTTACCAGTACCTGTATCGGGGTACCGTGACGGTACAGGGACTGTCATAGATATTTTAGGTCCTGTGACAATTGAAACATCAGTTGAAATATCTCGTGATATGAGTCAATTATGTACCGTATTATCGGATCAGGTACCGAACCACAGTCAAACATTTCAGATAAAAACGTTACTAAATAACATGCGTCAACTTAACACCAGCCGAATCGGGGTACAATTTTTGGTACAGTGACTGTCATAGCCGTTTAGGGCTGATGGACAATTCGACTACACGGACAACTCACCAGGCCTAGGGTGGTGTAGCCAGTCTGCGGACAATTTCATTCAAACCGCTATAAAACAAAAACCAATATATCTAACCTGTTAATTTTTTCACCGTGGGTGCATTGGCGGCATTTATCCTACACGCTAAACCTCGTATTAACTTTCTACGACAAAGGGTTGAAGCTATACAAATCCCCAAAGTACGGCACTCGAAAGACGTATTTGATCATCGTATCTGCTGCGTCGAGACTATCGCATACGCAGCCATACAGCAATCAAACAGACAAAACACGGTGGTCGCAAATTGGTTGACAATTGTTGGTCTTGTGACAGCGTGGAAACATTGGGCTTCTAATTGCATTTCTGACCGTCATATATTTCAAGAACACGGTTATTTCGAACAAAACTCGTTAAATTATAAACAAAGCACCACATCACGGCAATCAAACAGACGAAAACACGGTGGCCGCAAATTGGTTGACAGAGATATTATCGACGTATCGGAAATGCACACCCCCTATTCCCCCTCCTTCAAATGTAGAAACGCGAAACTTTCAAATATGGTTAAAAAAAACACAACTCTACCCACCTGCCAAGTTTCATCTTTTTATTTCTCATATTTGTATGGATTTTCAAGCTTTTGACAGCTACGAGTTAGTTCAGTGTCACCGCGCTGTGTTACGGTACCAGAACTCCTGTCTTGTGACAGCGTGAATTGAAATTGCAAGATGGTCCGTTGGACACAAAATGGCGTCCGATATCCGCAGAACGTTTAGTGACGTCATAGCAAACAAAAACAAATCTTACAGAGCTAACAGAAATATTTGAAATAAATAAAAGTAATAGCCTTCTGGAGAAAAATTTCATCTTCAACCACTGAAAATTTCAAAGCAATTAGTCTAGTAATCAAAGAGAAAAGCGACTTTTTAAAAACGTGTCAAAGAACAAGAACAAGAACAACAACAACATAATATTGAAACGATCGTTATGTCCACTACGTGTCCAATAAGGAGCCATTTTGAAGTTTGTCAAAATTGCCTCTGCCAAAGAAACAGAAGAGGTTAGCAGTCACAGTAAATCGCTACCTCAAATTGAAATGGAAGAAGAAGTGGACCTCGAGCAAAACGACAACGAGGTGCGAGCAAAACGACAACGAGGTGATCACTAAAATTGATCACGAAAACATTTCGCATCCGGCAAATGATTTTAATCCAGGGTAGACGTCTGCCTGCGGCACACGACGAGGGGGCCGCGGGCGCACAAATAGTCGGTTCGGCCCAGGCCGGTTGTGTCTACGACGCTCGGGCCGCCATCCGTTGCGTCGGACGGATCGCGGCATGATCCGACCGACGCCACTGACACCCCCTAACATAAACAGTTTTATCCGTATGGACAGGAGTCTATTTTCATTAATTTTGAGGTCCGTGATCACTCGACCGTGACAAAATTTTATAGGCATAAACTTTACTCCAACTACCTTGTATTACCCAAATATGAGACCTCCATCTATTACCGTTCTCGAGAAATGGCCTAAAATCACTGGTCCGTGACTGACGGCTACTAGAAAATAAATTCCGCTGATAAGTGATTGGATTAATTTTTCCGATCATGCCCATGACACGAAAATTTCATGGTATCGCAGTAAACTTGTGACAGCAAGTGTTTCAGGCGGTCGAATATTGAAGCGGTATTGCCGTAACGGAGTGACGAATTTTGATAATCTCCGACATGCTTTGCTTGATTGACAATGAACTGGCGCCATTTTGGAACAAAATTTTTTTTTCGAGATTCAATAAAAACATTGAAATCACCCGTGCAGCCGTAGAAATCAGATTTGTTGCCGTTTTTATGATCCACCCTCCAAATTCCGTACTCCGGTGGGTGGGTATTGACATGCACAAAGTGAGCCGTTGTGAACGTGTATGGAGAGTTATTCAAGAAAGTGGCAATTTCGTAAAGTCCAATTTCCGTTACACAAAAAGAATCTTTCTTAAGTTTTTGTTTTTTTTGCGATGCAATACGTTCGCCAGTTATCTTAAAATTTGAGTTTTCGCAATCAAGCACTGAAACGACATCGCGAACTTTGGTCCCTTTCATTTGATTTTTACCTCCATGTGATTCTTTGCCACAAGAGTACTTTAATAGGTATGCATTTGAAAATCGCAAATCACAGACAGCTACATTGAAGCATGATCGCAAGGCCCATTGTATCAGTGGCATTGTTGGTAAATATGTACTGCCAGGTGGATTCCTGGTTGGGTAGTGGTGTCGTCCGCCATGGAGTCTGGGGGCTGTCATTGTTATTTTGTCCCCAATTTTGCCGTCTTCATCTCTCTGCTGGTACTTTTTTGCAAAATTTATCTTCAACATTCCGTTTAACATATCTTCTGAAAACATATTCTCTTTCTTTTCGAAGTGGTAGTCGTGTCCATTGGGATGTCTCGGCACTCGGCAAATAAAAGAACCTTCAGCATTTCTTCTTTTTTTGCGGCGTTCGCCGGCTCTGCTGCAATTGTGCGTTGACAACATCTCATACAATTGTTTCAAGTCTTCATAGTCGAAAAAGTTCTTTACTATTTATTCTCTTGAATAACAGCGATTTATAGTCAACAACAAATCCATCACCGTTAAAAACGGTATCAGGATTGCAAGATATTTGACTCAAAGTTTCCTCAGTCGGCTCTGGATGTGGAGAAACGCCAATGTGAACATGTGCTTTGTTACCAGCCGACTCATGAGACTGGAACTCAAATCGAGCGAAGATATGAGGTATCGGTCCCATAACTTGATCAGGACTTTTGACCATGTAGTTAAGAAAAGCTGCTACAAAGCGTAACCATGAACGGTTGATGACTTCGATGTTGGCGGCATAAATACGCCGGTAGTCGTCGGGGCTATCACACATCTGCCTAATGCCTTCAATTATGCACCGTATGCCTGGTGACACGGATTCGTTGCACGTCATAGTCATCCAATACTTCCATGGATGCAGTTTTGTTAGTGCGGAAAGTGCTCTGAGTTTAAGGTTAGATTCGTAGTCTCCGTAAGGCAGGGCGACATCTTCCGCCATATAGTAAAGAGTGTTTTTCTCTGCCAAATGTTCTAACCCTTTTTTTGCAACCATAGCAGAGGATTGGCCGTTCAAACAGTCATTTAGCAGCAGGTCAAAGTGGTAATGGAGGCTTGAATGGTGCACGGCGGCAGGCAAATCGTGGTGGCGTATTCTAATTTTAATTAGATCCTTTTCGGACCTATGTGATCTTTCGCCA